TGCCCTTTTCTATACTCTTATTGTTGCTGAAATGAATGTCACAACCCAAGCCCATCGCTAGCAAATATATTGTCCTCTTTGGACTTTCCCTTTCGCGCTTCCCCTCAAGCTTTATAAAACGCGTCTGCTAGGGAGAGGTTTCCACACCCTTATAAAGAATGTTTCATTCCTCTCTCCAACCGATGTGAGATCTCACAATGATTACTTCTCTTGGAATTTCGTTCGTTTCCTGTATAGTTCTTCAGCCTATCCAATTTCATGGAAGCTGGAGATTTTCTTTGGATTATGGAAATATAAATATTGCCTATTAGCGTTAAGTTTCATGATTCTAGCAGTCAAATGACTTGTATTAGTGCAGACCAACCGGAGACAACTATTTTTAGATTTTTTTGTTGCAGGTATGAATAATAATGCCTTTTCTTTTTTTTGTTACATGTAAATGCCTTGTGCAGCAGTGAAGCATTGGGTGAGATGGAGAACAACAATGTTTTGGCATCTGTGCACGCCACGGTTTTTAAGGAATCGGAGAATCTCGAAGGGAAAAGAATCAAAATCGAGGGATATGACTTCAATCAAGGCGTAAACTACTCGAAGCTTATAAGGTCCATGGTCTCCACTGGTTTCCAAGCCTCGAATTTAGGAGATGCAATAGAAGTCGTCAATCAAATGGTAAGCTTTCATGAAAACCGACCTCCCTTTACTTTGCTTCATCGGAAATTTCTAACATACGCATCTAGTCCCATTTTATTTTTAGCATTGATGATTTACTTTTGAGAAATGATACTGTGTTGGATTGAAGTTAGATTGGAGGCTTGCTGATGAGAGTATAACAGAAGATTGTTCCGAGGAGGAGAAGGATCCAATCTTTCGGGAGTCGACGAGGTGCAAAGTTTTTCTTGGTTTCACCTCTAATCTTATTTCTTCTGGTGTTCGAGACACGATTCGTTATCTTGTTGAACATCATATGGTGAGTTAAACTACCGCTGTACTGGATGCTAACAACTTGTTTGGGATTTAATTTCAGTATAGTTTTACATATTTTTTAGAACAAAAATTCAGGGAAAATGTGTTTGATAATCATTTTTTTTATGGTTAATTTCAGCATGTTTTCATCGAATTGCTCATTTTTTTAGTATAAAATTATATTGGTTCACAGTACATGTTACATTAATAACTAAAATATGTAACAACTTAAGTCCATCGCTAGCAGATATTGTCCTGTTTAGGCTTTTCCTTTCGGGCTTCCCCTCAAGGTTTTTAAAATGTGTCTGCTAGGAAGAAGTTTCCATACCCTTATAAACAATGTTTCGTTCTCCTCCCCAATCGATGTGGGATCTTACAATCCACCCCCCTTCGGGGTCCAGTGTCCTCACTGGCATTCGTTCCCTTCTCCAATCAATGTGGGAACCCTCAATCCACTCCATTCGAGGCCCAACATCCTTGCTGGCACACCGCCTCGTGTCCACCCCCTTCAGGGCTCAACCTCCTTGTGGCAAATCGCCCGATGTTTTACTCTAATACCATTTGTAACAGCTCAAAGCCCCCGACTGATATTGTCCTTTTTAGGTTTTTCCTTTCGGGCTTCCCCTCAAGGTTTTTTAAACGCGTCTACTAGGAAGAGGTTTCCACACTCTTATAAAGAATGCTTCGTTCTCCTCCCTAACCGACGTGGGATCTCACAAAATCACATCAAACTTCAGATAAAATTGTAGATAAAACTGTGCTTCACATGTGTTCTCATGTGTAATAGACACCTTTTTTTTGCTCTCCTTTTAGGGAAAACACTTACTTATAAAGGTCTTTGAGTACGTTGCACTTCGACTTGGATATGGACTCTAACTATGGGGCTACTTCAATGTCACTGCAGGTTGATGTGATTGTCACTACAACTGGTGGTATTGAAGAAGATCTTATAAAATGCCTCGCTCCCACATATAAAGGCGACTTTTCTCTTTCGGGAGCAGTTCTTCGATCAAAAGGGTTGAATCGCATCGGTAATTTATTGGTTCCTAATGATAACTATTGCAAATTTGAGGACTGGATTATCCCAATTTTGGATCAGATGTTGAAGGAACAACTTGAAGAGGTACTTACTAAAAGATTATATTCATGTTTTTCTTTGTAATGTTTATCTAGTTTTCTCATTCATTTTGTTTCATCTCCATAGAATGTAATATGGACACCGTCCAAGGTAACCCGACGTTTGGGAAGAGAAATAAACGACAAGAGTTCGTATCTTTATTGGGCTTATAAGGTAAAAGTTAATAGAATCGTTGTACCTGTTCTTATGTTCATCATTATCAGTTGCCTTTAATATTATGCAGAACAATATTCCAGTCTTCTGTCCAGGATTAACTGATGGCTCATTGGGAGACATGTTGTATTTCCACTCGTTTCGTAATCCTGGATTGATTATCGACGTCATTCAAGGCGTGGGCCTGTATCTCTTTCCTTTCTTTCCTTTTTATTTGAATGAAAGCTCGGTTTCTTACGATGTAATATGTAACTGGACAGATATTAGTGCCATGAATGGTGAAGCAGTCCATGCCAGTCCGAGGAAGACTGGAATGATAATTCTTGGTGGGGGACTCCCTAAGCATCATATTTGCAATGCCAACATGATGCGTAATGGTGCAGACTATGCCATCTTCATCAACACTGCTCAAGAGTTCGATGGAAGTGACTCTGGAGCCCGCCCCGATGAGGCTGTCTCTTGGGGCAAAATTCGTGGTTCGGCCAAGACTGTCAAGGTCTGCCTCGTTCTTCCACTTCCATTACCATTTTACACTCTCTAGGCTTCTTGAATTCTTTGATCTCGTTAACAAAAGAGCCTCTTGGCTTCCAGTTCATGCATTTGAATAGTTTGTGTGTTAGGAACCACGACTCTCGGCAATGGTATGACATATTGTTCACTTTGAGTATAAGCTCTCATGGCTTTACTTTTGGTTTCCCCAAAACGCCTCATACTTGTGGAGATAGTCTTCCTTGTAAACCTATGATTTTCCTCATTAGCCAACCTGGGACTACTCCTTTCAATAATCCTCATCAATCTTCCCTCAAACAAAGTACACCATAAAACCTTCTCTAAGGCCTATAGAGCCCTCAAACAGCCTCTCCATAATCGAGGTTTGACTTCTTTCTCTAGAGCCCTAAGTACACCCTTTGTTCGACACTTGAGAGTCACTTTTGACTACATCTTCGAAGCTCACAACTTCTTTATTCAAAATTTGAGGATTCTTTTGACATGGCTAAGTTAAGGGTACGACTCTAATACTATGTTAGGAAGCACGAATGGAGATAGTCTCTTCCTTACTTATAAACTTATGATTTTCCTCTTAATTAGTCGGAGTGGGACTACTTCTTTCAATAATCCTCGACACATTGCTCTCTGACTGACTAAAGAGTACAAAGTTATGATTCTAATCAATTTCTTTTCGTGGGAAAACCAGGTACATTGTGACGCCACAATTGCGTTCCCATTACTCGTCGCAGAAACATTTGCCTCGCGAAGAGAAAAGGACATGCTGGGCAATGGTGGCGTCTCGGGGCGCTAACTCACGGTACGAATGTTGATTTGTTGATCCTTAAATTGGCTTATGATGTGCTGTGAACTCTGTGGGCTTACATTAAGTTATTGAAACTTTGGGGAGACTCTAGTCCAGAAACACCACCTTCCCCCATGAGAATGTTCACCACATCCCATGTTAGAATGAGTTGCTCTAAATCTTTGTGCTCAAAGCACATTGGTTGATCAATATTTGTTAGATTGGCCGACCCTCAGAAATTATTAATAATTTATTTAAAAAATACATTTTAACTTTTAAAAATGTTGGAGATGATTTATGAGTTTTAGATGAACGGTTTCGTCTATATATTGATAGTTTGAACTTTTTTTAATTTTTTTTTATGAAGTTGAAGCGTATTAGCGTATTTCTTAAACATGGTATCCATCGTCAATATATATTTTTTTTAAATATTTTTTCAAGTTATTTTTCGGGGTCATTCATTATTCCTTAGCCCTCAAGTGATTGATCGACTGTGTGAGTCAAGTTATTTTCCGGAGTCATTCATTATTTCTTTACATTATCAAATTATATTCTCCGACATTTGAATATTTGACTTCTGGATTGAAAATACTTAAACTTAATATATATATTTACGGTTTGTGCCACATTTCAAAAATACTCCTTAACTTTCAAAAATAATATTAAAAAGTTTGGATATAATATTATAAAGGTATCAATATATGACTTTCGGTAAAAAAAAAAATTGACATTTTTTTTTTACAAAGGTAAAGATATTTTTAACCTTTTTTACTCGATGAAGCTGGAAAAAGAAAATAATAGAGCTTTATATAAAATAATTATCCTAGTTTTTCCGAGCCACTTATTTTAATTATTATTGTGGCTTCAATTATGTTCTTTTAAGTTTATTGCTTTGCTCGAATGATTTTTAGTTTCATTTTAACTCAAAATGCAATCTCATCCTCGTAACTCTTAATCTACGATTTTGCAATCGAACATTCAAGTAGGTTTGAATATTCTCGAGCAAAAAATGATTATCCTTACTTTATGGTGTTTTAAGACTCGATAGATAGGAATGATCGGGCAAACGAGTTATCGTATGCAAAGTCCTAAAGATTCACATAAATGAGTTAAATAATTTTGTAAAGATAGGTGAGAGTAATTTTTCACGAAACACGTGTAGTATAATTATTAAGAGCATGTTCGATAACACATCATATCCGATACATGTTTTTATAATTTATTGACGATGCATGAAAATAAATTTTCTTTTATTTATTTATTTATTTTCGACCAACATGAGTGTTTGATGAAAATATTTTTATATGAATTTATTTAAACATTTTTTTTTTCATAAATATTATAATTATTTATCAAAATTTAAAGTGGAATATGCTAAAATTGAAGGGCAAAATTGCAAATTATTTTGGGGTTAAATTACAAAAATTAAGAAAAATGGGTTCGAATCTAGAGCCTAAAAAATCAACCGAGGTCCAATTTCAACCCGACATAGGCTTCAGAAGAAAGGGCCACGGAAGGGAGAACTGAAGAACGTCTTGACTTCGGCTTCCAGTTCCAGAACGAAGCCCAGATTCCACTGCTGCAACTCGGACCGGAGTTTCCCTTCAAATTTCTTCATCTCTGTGGCCGGCGGCATCCATCGTTTTCCTCATTTCATTCTTCCATATTCGCTGTAAGTGTACGCGTTTCCATTTTTTCTCCGTTTATGTATGTTTTCTAGATTGAGCGTTTTCGATTTTTTTGCCGTTCAGGATTATGCCAGACGTGCAAGCTCTTGTGAATGATTTCGTTATCAAGCTTAAGAAGCGGTTAGTTCTTTGGGATTGTTGATATTTCTGGAAATTGAGTTGTTGCTTGTGTGTTTTTTGGACCGTTTTTTTATAGTTCGTTTTGTTATGATTTTGTGGCAGTAAAATTGAGGGATCCTTGGCTACTGCGAAGCATACGGCCGAATTGCTTCGTTCTGTCATTTCTCATCAGCGAATACCCTACACGAATCAGGCGGCTGCTTTGATTGATGCTGTGAAAGCTGTTGGCGAGCAGCTGATTGCTGCGAATCCTGTTGGTAGATATATTAATTTCTTAATTTTGTTTATGATAGCTTAGAACTCCAGTTTGGCTATAGTCGATGTGTTTCCATGGACGCTTCTCATTCAGGCTGAAAATGAAGCGTTAATTACATCTCAGTTAACATTGTTCGGTCCTGGCCATGTTACTGTATACATTGTCTTTACTGTGATTTATAGCATTTTCCTCTGTATTACCAGCTACTCTGCTCGTCTTAAATCTAGTAGTTTATTAGCTTTTTAATGGCGTTTATATGTTAATGTATAACACTGCAGAGCTTGCCGTGGGAAATATTGTGAGGCGTGTTTTGCACATTATTAGAGAGGAGGATCTCTCTCTTACCACGGCTTCTATTGCTGGGTTGAGCTTATCAGCGGTTAGTGATGATGAAGATGACAGTGAAAAAGATGATCACCCGGCCCTCTCAGCCGCTGCTGTTGCAGCTGCGGCAAGAAGCACTTTGCGGCCACCTTCCTTGCAAACTCTTCTTGAGGATGTTCCCAACCAAGCGTCTGTTCATCAAACTTCATCATCTGGAGGTGATTCAGAAGGAAAAAGCAAGTGTGAGCTTCCTTCTTTTATGCTGATTAGTGTTAGTTTTCTTTCTTACTTAATAATGTTTATGTTGTGCTTCAAGGCCATTTATTGTAGCATCCAAAATATTTACTGATTTGTTTCACTAAAAGTTGATTACCCATACATATATATGTGTGTAAGCTCAGCAATTGCAGGGGTGCGGATTGAACCATTGACTTTTAGGATAATAATTGGTGCTTTATCCATTGATCTAAGCTTTGATTGAAATATAATATTTGTATATTACAATATCATCTTTTGTTTTATATATATATAGATAAAAATTATTTGTTTTTTTTTTTTTTTTTGGCTTGCTCGAACATATATTTGTGATGACATATTTGGTTTTCCATTTTCTTTTCTCAAGGCCTGGTTTTCTTTGATAAATCATCATTCAAGCATTTCCACTGAGATAAAATGAAAGAATACAACACAGGTGGATAAAAAAAAGCCACGAAAGGAGATCCTGTTAAAGAAAGGAATTCCAATTGAGTAAAAAAAGAGCTAATGAATAATTACAAGAAGCCTTCCTTACTAATCTCAAAAAGAAACATTGAACCTAACAAGGGATCATACATCTCATGGGTCCATCTTCACTCTTCTAAAATGGTTCATCCCCCCAGTAAGCCCCACAATAAAGCACACACCCTGACTTGCCACAAAAATCTCCTCTTCTCATGAAAAAGTGGAGGATCTCTTCAATGCAGTCTCTAATTTCTAGTCATCAGAAAACCAAAAATGTTATAAAAATATCTCCAAATCGATTGCAAGAAATCACAATTCCTAGGTTATGATCTAAGTCTTCCTCTGCCTTCCGACAAAAAATGCAACAAAATAGCTCAATCAAAGAGGCAACATTCTCATAAGCCGATCAAGCGTGTTAAGTTGTTTGAGGACTACCTGCCGAATAAAGAACTTCACCTTTTTTGGAATTTTCATCTTAAAAGGTGATGATAAAACAGACTTGCTAGAGGGAAAGGGTGGGGCAAACTATTGAAAGAATGAGTTACAAGAAAGTCACTTGTAGGATTAGGGCTCCAAGTATGAAAACCCCTCTAGGGTTTAAACTCAAACTCCCCAATCAAAGAAAAGAGAACCATAACAGCCATCTCGTTTGACCAAACATTGTTATCAGACATTCTGTCAATTTGTAGTTGGTTTCTTCAACCCCTCAACGGATATTATATATTTCAACTTTTTAAGCGTGAAAAATAATTTGTTGTTGAGTTGAAATTTATAGATATATGTTTATAATGATATCACAGTAATGTTCTGCTTCTTGCCTCCTAGAGTAAATTGGGATTTGACACTTTTTTGATGCGATGCCTTTATGTGAATGATGAACTAGGAATTAGGTATTACTTTTTTACCATTTGGAATGCTAGTTTTGCTTTTCTAACCAGTTGTTCTCATTGACAGCTGCTGATAAAAGTTCGAGGAGTCGGAAACTCAAGCATGATGTAATTGAAGCTGTTAACGAGCTTATTCAGGATATTGCAACTTGTCATGAACAGATTGCTGAGCAAGCAGTTGAGCACATTCATCAAAAGTATTTCTCATGTAGAACTAATCCTACTAGGCTAAGCTTTTTATTATTTATTACTATTATTATATATATTCTTTTTTTGTATCCTTAAAATCATTGTGATATGAGCCATCTTACTGAAGCAGTAAAGGGTAATTACTTTGGGAAGTAGATTCCATGTATATTATTTTATTGTAATCAAGAGGTCCCTGAGCAATACCTTCATCTGTTTGCTTCGTGTGCTCTATTTCCATTTTGGTAAGTTGGACTATTGTTACCAATTATATCAAAGGCACCTCTTATATAAAAGGCTTGGTCTCAGATTGGAAGGGCGGATTGCAGCTTGCTCCACTAATTGAAAAGGTTTTCTAGTTCTTTAAAATGGGAAACCAAGTGGTAAGACTGAAGTTTCCCGAGAGAATAGACAAGTAGGATATGCTCCTATTTCCTTTTTATCCTTATGACCAACTAATTTAATAGATATATCTAGAGAGACCTCCGCGAGCATGTAAAACAAGCATTTCTTGGACAACCAAAGACTGAATGAAGCTGCCCCTTACCGTATGAACTAGTAGGTTGATGGATCATTACCTTGATGATTGAATAAATGATTTTTTGTGTCTCACATGATCATGATGAGTCAAAGATAATAAAAAAGATAGGATTAGCAACCGCAGGTCTTCGCCAAGTCGTAAGACCATGTATGGGGGTGCCTTCCTAGTGTCAAAAGGTCAAGAAAGTTAGTGAGTTGATAATAGGGGAGCTGGCGATCAAATCTCTAGTGAATGGTAGCCGTAACTATAACGGTTATAAGGTAACAAAATTCCTTGTTGGCTAAGTGAGTAGTGTAATGTAATGCAAGGCCTATGAATAAGGATAGGGGGTTTGTTGTGTAAAAATGTTGAGGTTGTGGGGCTTATAATAGGAAGGGTGAGTAATGTGTTAGATATTCAACGTTTTGTTGATCTTGTTCAGATGTCCTTCATCTTTTCTTGCTGTTGTTAAATTAGCTTCAGTCTATGTTCTACTATTTAAGTTTGTATTCGATTTACTTGCATTATTCTCTGTTTCTGCCTTCAATCTAAAATATGCAATTTGAACTTTTAGAGGACTTTTATATTATGGAATTATAATTTAGAATTTCCTCTTCAAGATTTTACTTCAATATCCTCACATATATTGAGTGCCAAAATTTTCAGCGAGGTAATATTAACTCTGGGGAGTTCCAGAACAGTATTGGAATTTCTTTGTGCTGCTAAGGAGAAGAAAAGGTCCTTCCGGGTGTTTGTTGCTGAGGGTGCTCCAAGGTCTGGGTGAAGTAGTTAAAATCACTTCTTTCATTTTCAAATCACTTCGTAATATATTTTTATTGATTCAGATCAATTTTAATGGAATGAAAATCACATTTAAAAGTGTAGAATCAAACATCAAGTTAATTTTGAATGCTTAAAGGCATGTTTTGGAGTGATCTAGAACATGAAAAAAGTGATTTTAACTATTTAAAAATAACTCTCAAACATGCCAAAAATTTACTGATGCTTGGGTTTAGTGATGAATTAACAATATTACACTTTGATACTTTTGGTTCACTCAAACACGGGTTTCTTCTGAATGTTACAACAGATATCAGGGTCATCTTCTTGCTAAGGAGTTGGTTACAAGAGGTTTACAGACCACACTTATTACTGATTCTGCAGTTTTTGCCATGATCTCCCGGGTGAACATGGTAGGTGGTAGCTTTAGTGTGTGTCTGTACATATATAAATGCATTTCATTTCAACTTATGCATAAAGTGGGATGGACTTGACAACTGATGAGATAGCTTCATCTTCAAATCTGTTTTGCAAGGTAATAGTTGGAGCTCATGCTGTCATGGCAAATGGTGGTGTCATGGCACCTGTTGGTTTGAATATGGTGGCCCTTGCAGCTAAAAGGCATGCTGTTCCTTTTGTCGTTCTAGCTGGAAGTCACAAGGTGATGTTATTAATTAGTCTTGTTTCAAATTTGAATTTTGCTCTTATCAAATTTTTTTCTTTGAATTTTGGTAAAATATTTAGCAACCGAGCATTTTTACCTCCAAATTGTTTGAAAGTTACAAAAGGGATATGTCATCCATGTTTACAAAAAAAAAAAAAAAAAAAAAAAAA